GTCAAGTTTCAAGTTCTGTTCTTGCTGTGTGGTCAAAAGTTTCATGAGGACAAGATCCTTGAGATGGCACAGCTTGTGCAGAGAGCAATTTCATCCCTATGGTAAAGCCCAGTTATCCCTAAACTTAGTGTTTAACTTTCTGCTTAGTGAGCATCAGAAGGGTTTGTTGCAGCTCTCTGCGTGGGAATGTGATATTTTAATACCATCTATAACACCTCAGGATGTTCAGCTCCGACAGACCTGTCATTAGTTAGTAATATCCAGGTCCATGGCTTCTTTGTGCCTTTTACATCAGGGTGATTTAGGGCCTCAGTCAAGCAATGGCAAAATAATCAGCTTACAGCTGAACCGTCCCCCACTCTACATAAGCATCCATCGCCTTTTCCCTTCAAGTGTTTACTCTGATTAGGTCTTTCCTGTTTTTCTCTTAAGTTCTGAATACTTGTGTATTTTACTTATTCGTGTTAATGAATGTTCTTTTTTTCCACTGACATGTATGCTGGAGACAGAACTTCAGTTACATTTCTGTCTTCACTGCAGAAAGTACATGAGCATTCCTCAGGTGCAACCCCGCACACAGAGCTAGTACAGGCTAAAGAAACTGGTCCATAAACCTGCAGCCGTCTCCCTGTTAATAATGCTGTTATCATCCCACCCCAAGAAATAAAACGCTGCTAAGCCAAATGTAGGATCTCTAGAAATCATGTGTCTGCCAGCGTTAATTAGCTGGATAGAGGAAGCGTAGTTCTGCTTACCTGGGATTTGTGTGCTCCTGTTGGAAAGCAGTGTGACTCTGCACTAGCTGTGTGAGTGCCTTGCAAGATCATGCCTGGGGTCCCTCCTGGGGTCAAGGTAAAAGCACCTTGTGCCAGAAAAGCCTCTGCCTTTCAGTGGAGAGGAAAATGACAGCCCAAGTCTGTGGGTTTCAACATCTAAGCATGGGAAACAGAGGAAATCTTCGCCTAGAGAAAGTGCATTAATCACCTTCAGACTGGAACACAAAACAGACCCTATATCCAAATATAATGTTTGTTGGGTGCTGAGTGCTAAACATAAATGCACATGTACACATACCACAGTCCAAAACCTCTCCTTCTGCCTCTTCATCTCTTAGATCCTCTTCTTAATTCCCCTTTTCGACACATAAATTAAACAGTCTTCTGTGCTACCTGACAGCTCCTTTGGTCCTGATCCCAGCATCTCTGCAGGAAAGGTCATTTGTTGCTTCCACCTCCTGTCCTCTCAGAAACCCCACTGCCCACCTTGCCTACACTTGTGTGGCCTCCTGGTTTGGTCAAAATCCCACCAAATCCACAGACCAGACTTCCTTTAGCAGTCTGATGCATCCTCTTCCCCTGCAGTACTGAGAGGTTCTGGTCTGAATTTTGCAAGGCATCATATCTGATAGCCACCGACTATAAAAGAGAAAGCCTATGAGTATCTTTAATTTTTTCCTTTTTTCCCCCGCCATTACTGGGGAGTTTCAAGTCGAGACTAGAAGAAACTATGAGCATCCTGGTCTGATTTCGTGGCTTTGAGCAGGAGGTTGGGCTAGACACCTCCCGAGGTCACCCCCAGCTTGAATTTTCCTTTGAGCTTGTCATCTTACTAACCAAGCAAATGGGGTGCACTCAAATGACAGCAAAATACTGTCCAAGAGACAACATCCCTTCTGCTGTTCATAGTTTCTTCCCTTTCATAGCAGCACAGCACTGTTAACATGAGCAGGAGGATTGCTTGGCTTACACGGGCTGCTTTTCTCACCCCCCCTGAAAATCCTGTTACACCCTCAGGTGCTTATAGCAGCCATCGTTTACAGAAAGCTGTGGGACAGACAGGCTAACAGCAAGGCAGGCTTGGCTTTCTGAGCAGCAAAATCTCTGCTGTTTATTTCTGCGATATTCAGGAAAATCGGCCTCTGTGTACATCTACTGAAAAAAAACATAACCATGCCAAAGCAGCTCTGGACTACCTGACCCACTTTTTCTCCTTGTATAAATAGTTTAGCAAATCCCAGCGATCAGATAACTTCTTAGGCCAATAAGCATCAATACTAACAGTCTGTTTTACACATCTCCATTTTTATTTTT